ACTCAAAATCAATAAATATAGGTAGTCAGAACATTTACAGATACTATGCTAAAGGTATGTGCCTATATAGCAGAGATTGCTGGAATAAACACACCAGAAAATGTGCCAACATGTTGAGGAAGGGAAAGTGTCGTTTCAACAAAGAGTGCAGGTACTTCCATTCGGTAAAGTGTAAAGCTTCAACGCAATCCAGAGAATGTCATGACCTGAGCTGCCCAGACCATCATATAAAAGGAACGCAGTGCTACGGAGTTAGCAGAGAAAGGGGAAATTGAACAGCATTCTTTTTTTAGACAAAAAGAAAAAAGATCAAAACAAAGGAAGAGTCAAACAGGGGGAATGGTACAGAGAGGACAGGTGGGCAGTAAAATGGGGCATACCAAACCAGGCATCAGCCCATCAAGGCTGAACAAGCAACCAAACGCAAAGCCAGTACTGGAGAAACCAGGGGCGTGTACATCAGGAGACATACCAGGTAGTACACCACCAGTGGTACTAATGAAACACAAAGCGAGGCAAAACATCCTACATGGTAATTCCTGCTTTATATTTGCAAATATTCAGGGTTAGAAGTCAAATAAAAATGACAAGGTTAGTTATGTTAGTGGGCTCCTAACAGAAGCGAATACCATGTTCCCTGGTATGTGCCAGAGCACATACCAGGGAACTAATGAGGCTTTGTGAAAAGTACTCTTTAAATCAACAGAAATTGATCCCACCAGAAATGAAAATGCCCTGGATTTGATATTCACAAATGAGGAACTGATCAGGGACATAACAGTTACAAAAACTATATACGTACTCTGATCATAACATCATAGAGGTTCAAACTAGTATTAACTCAGAGGTAGGAAACTGCATCACTAAAGTTAGAGACGGGATATTCAGTAAGTTTAATTTTAACAAAAATAGAATTGACTGGGAAAAAATAAACCAAGAGCTATCAGACATACCCTGGGAATCAGGCATGAGCACACTAATTCCTCACAAGTGCCTAGAAAAGCTGAATACAGAAGCATACAAAGTATGTATGAAACATGTACCATTGAGGAAACCCCGAAGAAACAGATATAGAGAGAGAGCATAGGAGATGGTACAGAAGAAGAAAGCGGGTTACTGAACTGCTTAGAAACACAAATATGCTACAACAGAGGAAAGATAGACTTAGCAGAGAGATCACTGAATTAGAGCAAAAACTTAGGATGTCATGCCTCACAAAAGAAGTACAAAGGGAACAAAGGGCCACACAGGATATTGCAAGGAACCCAAAATATTTCTATTCCTACGCAAAATCCAAGCTAAGAACTACCTGTAGAATTGGACCACTACTGAGAGGAGACTCATATACTGACGACGAACAGGAAGTGAGTGATATCCTAAAAGAACAGTGTGAGTCGGTGTTCAACAACCCACTAAATGACAGCAAGGTAGAAAATTCAGAAATATTTTTCGCTCCAGAAGAAGGCCACACAGACCAGCTAACTGACATTAGTACAAATCCCCTAGGTTTCGAAAAAGAAATGGAAAACATACCCACTCACTCAGCACCTGGACCAGATTCATGGAATTCTCTATTTATGAAGAAGTGCAAAGTCCCACTAGCATGAGCCCTTAGATCTAGGTGAAATATTGGAGGCCTTAAAGAGTGCAGACATAGCTCCTTTGCATAAGGGAGGTAGTAGAACACTAGCTAAAAATTACAGACCAGTAGCCCTAACCTCTCACTTCATAAAAATCTTCGAAAGAGTGATGAGATGGCAGGTTAAAAATTTCATGGACCAGCACAACCAACATAACCCGAACCAGCATGGTTTTAGAGCAGGATGATCATGTCTGTCACAGCTGCTGAACCATTATGACAGAATTACGGAGGCACTGGAAGACGACCAAAACGTTAATGTGATTAATTGGATTTCCGTTATTTCTTGTGGGGAAAATTAATTCGGCTAATGGCTAATTCGGCTAAAGGCTAACTCTCTGGAATGGATTAAAGGTGTTAGCTGAGGGTCCACTATATATTGGCCTCACAGGCCACAAAAGTTAATGGAAAAAAATATTAGAAAAGTAAAGAAGAAAGTAACAAAAACCTAAAATAAAATAATGAGTCTATACAGAAGTCGCGGATGTTGCCGCCACCAGGTCATTGAGGCTCAACTTCATGCCTCTATATCTCGGTAATTACAGATCAAAAATTTTTTTTATTATTACCTACAGAAAATTATTATCTTTAATTCTGTAAGAATTTTTTTTTTTTTTTTTTTTTTTTCCAAAAATTTTTGGCCCTTTGGTGCCCCCTTTTGAGATTTCCCCCTCTGGCCCCAAAAGGTTAATTATAAACAAGAAATATTTCCTACGTCCTTGGAGATGCGGGCATGGTTTTTTGGGTGGTTGACGTAGGAGGGCAGCATATGTTTGTCAGGCCCCTTTAAAAACCCCAAAACTTGGAGGGTCAGTTTGTGTCGTCCTTTTTTTATCGCAAAACGTTAATTGCTGACTGTTAATGTTTTACCTTTTATTGGGGTGGCGCTAACCCTTTATCGACTCGTGCGCTTTGTAATACAATCGCGAATCACTGATTCATTGAAAAAGGCAATTCCCCCTTTTTTTCCCCTCCCTTTGATATTTGCAAAGGTTTTTTTTTTTAAATTCTTTTGGGTTTGCTCACCTCTTTATCAATGGGCTGACACTAGCATTTTCTTTGGGCCCAAGGGGCTTAGGTACAGAAAAACAGAACAAACAAGTGCAAAAAAACAATGAATTATTACGAAATTTTTTTCTATGACCTCTCAGGTAATGTTCACTCACCAAGAAACAAGCAACAGTCGAATGTTCTGTGGGAGGTTTGGGGGTTGTGCGTCGGCACTCGGAAAAGGTACTGTCCCAGCAAAAAAGGAGGAAAGAAAAACGAAAACTGTGCCAGTTTTTTACAAAAAAAAGTCCGTTAACTAAAAATCACAAACAGACCCAACAAAAAGGAAGGGTCCACTGTGATTTGCAGCAGATGGTTTATAAAGGGAAAGGGGGTCACTATGAAATGATGAAGCTAAAAAGGGGGGTGGTGCATTGAGGGTTTATTTGGAGCAAAAGATGTTATCCAGGGAGGAAGAAAAAAATTCAAAAGGGTATAGGGGTACCAAACCCTCATTTTGGGGGTTTTAAAGCTGGGTTGTAAGCCATTGGGGGTGGTTGGAGCAGTTGAGGGTCGTGTTGAGGGAAATTGGGGCAGCCCCCCCAAATGTCAACTACGACTTCATCAACCTTACGCTAAAAAATTTGCAACTGAAAAAATTATATTACAAGAAAAATTGTTGTATGTTGTCTTCTTTTATTTATAAGTGAATTTTTAATTTTTTTTGTTGAAACGAATAAAAAATTTTAAAGTAGAACTTTGATGGGGGTCGATAGTTAGAGAGACTCCAAGCGGACATCAACCATATCTTTAAGGGGCCACTCAAAAAAAATATGAAGTTCAATGAGGAAAATTTCATCTCTCTGATATGGAAAACTTTGAGGAATTAAAATGTTTCTGGTATTGACAAATTCAACCATACAAAAGTACAAAAAAAAAATGCGAAGGATTGGGTGTGTGTCGGGATCTCCTTTCAGAGACCCCAAAAGTGTATCTACTTCATCGGCTAGGAAAATGATAGGGGGGGTTAAGAAACCTTCAAAAAAATGGCGCTAAGCCATAATGCACTTTCAAATCACTTGTTCTTCTAGGCTGGAATATGCTGTCAAAGGGCCCCCCTTTAAGGTGGCGAATTGCAGCTTGGGAGGACAAAGAACTTTCATAGCCCATAAGTTTGTAAGGCCCCCAAAATTTCGGGAAAGGCTGAAAGGCCTTGATCTTATTTCCCCGGAATGCAGGCGGAAAATACATGTAAATACATTGGAAAATCCTTGAGGGATCGTTACCAATCCTGCACAAAAAAATCCTCTTTTTTGAAAAAAAAGATCGGCGGAGATGCAAAATTCCCCCGATGTAAGAGGGCCCCCACGAGTACATTTAAGACAACAAATAGGTGTCCCGTGCCCAAGATGTTCAACTGCCTCTCGTACATAAGGGGGCTACCCTTGACCCCCGGCTGTTTCAAAAGGGGACGGACAGGACTAAAAAATCAGTACCCGACAAAGGGCTGGGTTCGTACATCGTTTTTCCCTGCGGGTGGAGTAACGTTGTTGACAAACCCCCCCACCCCCCATGAGGCCCGGTCCCCCGACGGCTGCGGGGGGCATTGACCCCTTTAATCCCCTCCAGGTAAACTTCAGGGAAACCCCGGATTACTGGCATCCGGCTGCCATGGGTGGTTTAAAAATTTTTGCGGAATTGTAGTCCGGAACTTTGGGGGAGGGTGGGTTATTTAAAAATATTACTCCCGAGGGTGAAGAGGGGTTAATTTAGGTGGTTTTTTTTATTTAGGGGATGGAGCCCTAGAATGACCCGGGGAGTATATAAAACTTTAGTGGAAGGGAGGGGGGGGTAGGGGCATCCCAGGAAAGGGTGGAGGGAGGGGGTAGAAGAGGTTTTGTGTGCATGCGCCCGGGCATGCAGCAGTGAAAGGGGACAAATGGTTTTGGGACCTGATACCTATTGGTGAAGCATGGTAAATTTTGTGAAGGGATACAGGGAAGCCAGTTAGCAGGGCTTTAGCCAGGTGGGAGGTAAATGCCCACTTTAGAAGGGGTTTGGGGGGGATTGGCTGTTTAAGTGACATTGAAAGTCACATCTGGGACCTCTGGAAAGACAGTGTACTGTGTGAATGATGGTGAAAGTGTTTCTTTTTTAGATCACCCTGCCTCAGTGGGAACAACTGCCTTGTTGGAAAAAAAAAATAATTATACAACTTCATTAAGTGTGTGAATCTGGCCACTAATTATTTAATTGAATGCTGTTAATGAAGTGTTTTCTAGTGCTACTGTATGCATTGTACCTTCTCTATTTAATGCCTATTAGTTTATTTTTGAAGAATTATTGATTACGTATGCCATTTTCTTTTCAGTTAGCTCGCATATTAGTAGAAACTATAGAAGATTCATCAGTAGAGGGAGAGTTTAAGGTTTTTGATAGCATTCTTGGACCTCATCTGGACATTCTGAACTCAATTGCAGGTTTGTTGTTAGTTATGTGTATTTGTGGATGTTTATATCTTGCAAAAGATAACTATTTCCACTAAAAATTGAAACAGTCTTCAATAAAAAATGCATTACTATTTTTCTGTAGTTATTGATGCTTTATTCATGTATGCCTAAACACACTTGAAATGTCTAAAGTTTATTGTTTTAACAGGGAACAGGTAAAATGTACTTATATAAATGGTTTTCAGAGAGAGGAGCATCAAGCACATTTTACCATACACCTCCGTTCAAAGGCAAAACTAGGAAGATTGTGGTGAACAAAAATCAAAAGATAAGTAAGTTTTGTGTCTTTGAGTTAATGTATTTACAGAATTGCCCATTGTTGCTTAACCCGTAAACAGTCCAAATGTATATATACGTTCTCTCGCCCAGTGCCCTGAATACTATTTGGAAAAATTAAAAAATTATTTTTTTTTTTATATAGAAATGAAGAGAATATTTTTCTAAGTGTTACAGGATTAAAATAAAAAAAACAGGACCAGTACTTACCAAGATATGAGGCTGCAAAGTTGGCACTTAATGCTCACCTGACAGCAACATCTAGTCCTACCACTTGCAGAAGTGTTGCCAATATACTTTTTTTTTAATTTTTATATTCTGATAATTAAAATTTATAGTAGTTCTTGTCATTTCATAACCAGTCTTTGTTCTGACACTAATATTAGGTACTAAAATTGTACTTAAATTGTCACAAACACACTGACAGGTGGACATTTACACTTGCCTTGGTCATTTACTATTGTCTAGGAATATATGCAAAGTATTTATAGGTCCCAGCAATGTTTTGGGTACACAGGAGTATATAATAATAATAACAATAATAATAAGAAGAAGAAGAAGAAGAAGAGGAAGAAAAAGTTCCTTTGAAGCATGATGTAAGACCACTTATCTTATCACTGCACCAGGTCTGCTAGGGTGCAGTGATGAGATAAGTCGTGACATTTGATGAGCCCAAGTGAGGGTGCAGTGATAAGATAAGTGGTGACATTTGATGAGCCCAAGCGAGGGTGCAGTGATAAGATGAGATAAAGGGCGACATTTGATGTGCACTGGCGAGGGTGCAGTGATAAGATGAGATAAGGGGTGACATTTGATGAGTGTCGCATCTCTGTCTCTACTTATCTGTCTCTGTCTGCTTGTCTCTCTTTCCATCTCTCTGCTTGTCTCTGTCCCTGTCTCAGAGAGAGCCACTGTGAACCAACAGGTATTCTTATGCATTATATCAACAAGCACAGTATAGCACTTCGGATTTTTGGAGTTATCCTAGGTAATTTACACTATGTATAATTGTATTTGTGTGTACCTGTGAGACAGATAGATATAGACAGAGACAGATATAGACATAGATACAGACAGACAGACACAGAGATAGAGCCAGCCTGCTGAACACTTATTACACATTCCAGAATTGTTTCTCTTTACTTAGGTCTTAGGGCATAGGTTATAAAACATTCTGAAAGGGTGTTGCACAGATGTTGCACATGGGTTATTATGGAGGTTTTTGATATTTCCTCGACCACTTGTTGCCACATTCACCTGAAAGCCACTAAACTTGGGGTCAACATCACTTTCCTCTTAAAAGGGGAGTGTTAATGGGACATGACATCAGTGAATCCTTGGTGTTTGCAGCGCTGTTTTCTCTAGCTGGCACTCAGTTTAACTGGCACTCCCACAAGGTACTAAGTGGTCCCAGCTTTTTTTTAATAGTGTGCACACTGAGTGTTAAGACCCATTCTATGCTGACCAGGCATCTCAGGCCTATCGTGCCAAATTTGGAGGCAGGAAAAATAAAACGTAAATACAGTGGACCCCTGCATACCGGACGCATCGCATACCGTACAATCCGCATACCGCTCGCTTTTTTCGCAAAAATTTTGCCTCGCATACCGCCCAAAAACTCGCTCACCGCCCTTCGTCCAAGGCGCGTCCAATGTGCGGCCTGAGCCACGCTCACATGTTCCGCCGGTGGCATTGTTTACCAGCCAGCCTCCGCAGTAACGTCCAAGCCACATCAGGAGGAAGACAACAGTCAAAGACCAGGTGATCAGATTAAGGACAGAAGGTGGAGAACTCACAAGAAATGATCAGGAGGTATGTGAGGAGCTGAACAGGAGATTTAAGGAAGTTTTTACAGTAGAGACAGGAAGGGCTGTGGGAAGACAGCACAGAAGGGAACATCAAGAGGGAATATACCAACAAGTGTTGGATGACATACGAACAACTGAGGAGGAGGTGAAGAAGCTCTTAAGTGACCTTGACACCTCAAAGGCGATGGGACCAGACAACATCTCCCCATGGGTCCTTAGAGAAGGAGCAGAGATGCTGTGTGTGCCTCTAACCACAATCTTCAACACATCCCGTGAAACTGGGCAACTACCTGAGAAATGGAAGACAGCTAATGTAGTCCCCATATTTAAGAAAGGAAACAGAAATGAGGCACTAAACTACAGACCTGTGTCTCTGACATGTATTGTGTGTGCAAAGTCATGGAGAAGATTATCAGGAGGAGAGTGGTCGAACACCTGGAAAGGAACAAGATTATAAATGAAAACCAGCATGGGTTCATGGAAGGCAAATCTTGTATCACAAACCTCCTGGAGTTTTATGACAAGGTAACAGAAGTAAGACACGAGAGAGAGGGTTGGGTAGATTGCGTTTTCCTAGACTGCAGGAAGGCCTTTGACACAGTTCCCCACAAGAGATTAGTGCAGAAGCTGGAGGATCAGGCACACGTAAAAGGAAGGGCACTGCAATAGATAAGGGAATACCTGACAG